CTTTTTGCTTATGTGGTGCTGAGGAATGGAACCCAGGGCCTCAGGCATGCAAGGCAAGCGCTCTACCACTGAGCCAACTTCCCAGCCCTTATTATTCTTTTTTTTTTTGGGTCTGGTCATGGAGCCTGAACTCTGAGCCTGGGCGCTGTCCCTAGCTCTTCAGCTCAAGACTAGTGCTCTACCACTTGAGCCACAGCGCTGCTTCCGGCTTTTTTCTTCTTGCTTATGTGGTGCTGAGGAATCGAACCCAGGGCCTCATGCATGCAAAGCAAGCGCTCTAACTCTGAGCCACCTTCCCAGCCCTACTATTATTATTCTGATGCCAGTCCTGGGGCTTGAGGGCCTAGGTGCTGTTCCTGGGATTTTTTTTTTTTTTTTTGCTTAAGCTAATGCTCCATCATTTGATCCACAGTTCCACTTCTGGCTTTTTGGTGGTTAATTGGAGATAAGAGTCTCATAATCTTTTCTGTTCAGGCTGCCTTTGAATGTCAATCCTTGGATCTCAGCCTCCTCAATGGCTAGGATTACAAACATGAGCCACCATGCATGGCTTCTTTAGCTCCTTTATGAATAGTCATTTTTTCAATAGTTTTCTTTTGTTTTGTTTTTATGCCTGTTCTTTTTATTTACATTACTGTATAGCTGGCACATCATTGTGCCCATTAAAAAAAAATTGGTTGTGATGGGCCCTCACACACATTTTGTCTAGAAAGATATCAAACCATGATCCTTCTTATTTTTACCTCTGGTGTAGCTAGGATTTACAGTCATGAATCACCAAGCTTAGCAAATTTCCTTTCCTTTGAATGATTGCATAGTATAGGATGTGTGACATTAAAAATGCTGTGACTTTTTTTTTTTTGCTGCTGCTTCTTTCATGGAGAGGTGGATCAAAGTCCCTCCCCTTGGATCTGGCTCCCAGTGACTTCAGCGTCACTCGATTCAAGCTAGGGGGAGCAGGAGGAACTAGAGGCTCAGAGACCCTGTGAAGATGTTGCATTCCTCAGCCGTCCAGCGGTAGCCGTCGGAGTCCTTTGAGCCCTGGCACCTCACTGTGAGAGGAGACAGGCCTCGCCCCTTGGGGATTCCTGTCCCACAAAATCATGCAAAGTTATATTGAATGGTGATTCCGACATAATTCTTGGGTTCACTGTGTTTGTGCAGTCACAGATATCAGGAACTACGAATCACTGCTCCAGTTCTTCAACGTTGGAGTTTTAGATTGTTGACAGCTATTTGCTACTATCTGATATACGTCTGAAAAAAAATTCTCTAGAGTGCTTCCACAAACTAGTTTTCTGAAAGGAAAGTTCTTGGATGTTGGAGATGTCAGGCTCTTGGTGTTGACCTAAGCGGTGGACGGCCGACGTGACACTCACTCCTGCGAGCAGAAGCCCCCGACCCGCAAAGCCCTCTGCGGGCCGAACGGACTTCCTGCGAGTTGTCAATCACCCGAGCAACACGTAACAATAAAGTTATTGTTGTTGTGGGAGAGACTTCCGGTAGGGGCATTTCTATTTCCGTCTGAGTCAGTCTCCCGGACCTTCTTCTTCGGTATCTCAACCGGAAATATTTGTACCCGGTTTAAAGCCACGTCTGTTCTGGTTTAGGTCCCACCCCCCACGCCGCAGGAGCGTTTCCGGGGTCAGGCCACTCCGGCCCGCCCCGCCCCGCAGCTGCCGCGGTGCTGGAAGCCTCGGTTCTCCCGGAAGTGGCCTGGGTCTCTCGGTCGGGGTCGCCTCCGCCGTGCTGCAGCTGCCGCGGGCCGCGGGG